CAATTGAAAAGGACATCCGACCGAGGCAATTCACAGCAGCCTCAAAGAAATTTTTTTATATCCCACTGAAAATCAGGAGTTGAAGACACATGGGCACTACCTAAGCTCTCTGCTGTTTGCAGACAATATTCTAATTCTATCAAGATTACCAGAAGAATACCAAATAAAATTTAAAGATGAACAATGTCAATAGGAAAACAGGACTGAAAATTAATCTGACAAAACTAACGGCGAGTTTGACTGATCAGTGAAATCAATGGATTATTTTTGATGAGGCTCGAATGTCCTCCTACCTGAGACAACTCACCTTTGCAACGGTGAACCAACTCTGCGAAGTCAACAGATGAGCAAAAATGCCAGAGAGATTTTTAAGGTGATAGAAAATATATTTGTCCGGCAAACGGTCATCATCGGTGAAACAGTAACTTCCCAATCTGGGTCTTCTCAGGGTGCTAACCCATGGATGCGATAAATGAACTCTAAGCCTGAAAGCTAGTCATGAATCGCAGATTACGCAACACAGCCTGGAAAAGTATGTTGGGAATAACATGAAATAGCAGGAAGGAAAGCGTTTATGACGTTATTGCCCGAGTGAGGAAGTCAGTGAGGCAATTGAGGGACACGTTGCAAGAAGAACCGATCATCGCTGGTCCAGAAAGTCATTAGATTGGGTTCCAAGAGAGAATAAACGGCTCATGGGAAGACCTCCAGATCGTGGCCAGGATTAGCTGAAGAGGTAGTTTAATCAAGATCAAAATATGAATCATAGAAAAATGAATTTTACAGAAAAGTCACGGAGAGCAATTCATCCAGCAATGGATCGAAAACGGCTGATGATCATCCTGCAACAAGAGCATTCTTTTGTCTATGCCGAGAGATCCACTTTGAACGCTCATTGAAATCATTTGAATTCGCTTTAAAGTAAATCCGTTAACATGAAATTACGACTTTTCTTACTACCAAGAAAAAAACTTTTGGGTTTAATTCAAAATGTCACTCGAAGAACAAAGTCATGCTCACATCCACAACTGAGCCTGAAGATCTGCATCACATTATAACAGTAGTATAACGCTATTCGTTGTCTGATCACACGGTAGGTCTTGTGAAGCTGAAGGTTAACATCGCGTTTGTGTCCTACAGGCTGAACTATGCAATATTGAATTATAATAATAATGATTATTACTTTGATAGCTGGCCAAGTGCAAAAAATTGCAAATTCAACTTTAAAACAAATTCCTGTGGCAAATGGTGCCCTGTATTACGCTCTATAGTACATAACGCATAACTACTCCAAAGTCAGATTCAAAACCACTGTGCGAGGTAGTTTTAGAGGACAAGATTTGACAGATGCGGGCAGGTATGCCAATATTATGGAGCCATGACTTGCTTAATTGCATTTTCAGGGTAACTGTAAGCAAAACGGCGGGATACTAGGCCGTGGAATCTGGCCTTGAATGATTTATGTGTAATTTGTCATGTTGCGTCGTGAGAACGTATGTTATACTCTGTACTACATATTTGAAACTCTATAAGACCAAGCATTATTTTTTGCGTAATGCTCCTTAACTTTTCCCTTTCAGTTAAAATTTTTAACATTTTCCCTCACTTAGATTTGCATGATATTTTGTTAATGTGTAATTGTTTTCTTAGTCGAGAACTCATGATTCATAAAATTTATTAGAACAAGAATTGCGTTCGCTTCGCTGTGCCATTCAGCATGGAAGATTGGCACAGAACTGACTTCAGAAGCCTATGAGAAATCGTATTTATCACATGAATCAAACATAACTATGAAGCTATGTAGCACTCAACGTGTGAACTTAAGTATTTCGATGGATACAGGAATATCACATGCATAAATTTTATCATATGTTCCTCTAGCGAACAAGCAATTTCGTCCATCGTAAGATCTGACAAACATTTTCTCTAGTTATTCATAACTTATTACAATTTACATGCTTTATCGACAGGCGCTAATGGAACATAAACATGTGGATGGCCATATTTGTTATTCCATCAATCACGCCAGTATCAGCAGTGTTTTGTTAATTACGGTTGAAAAGAGAAAACTTCACTCATACCGATAGTGGTAACTACGGTGACGGCGAAGAACACCGCCGTCTGAAAATTCCAGGCGTCGATGGTTCTGTTCTCCATGATTTCTTTCGCAGTCAAGAAATGTTTGTCGAATGAAAAGTACAGTATTTCAGTTATGTTCCTGATCGACTCGGAAATGACTTGGTCCAATTTTTCGTGGTCAGCGACGTCGTACTTCCGCAGCAGCCCTCGGATGTTCCTTGCAAAGTCGTTCCTAGTGTCTTCTATTTCACTCAGGCTTTTCTGCTTCACCTGACGTTCGTGAGGTAATTCGATCCTGTGAAATATGGCAGCACCAATCAGAGTATACGTTGCCGTGAGCAGAATCAATCCAACGTGCGGGACAACCAAACGAGCTGTCTAAAAGTACGCAAATCACGCAAAGTATATTGATGAAGTACTGATCGATAACTACAACTCATCTCTGCAGCGGAAACCGACTGCGAGATGTCAGCAGAAGAATAAAATGGCATGCAGCACTTTTGCAAGAATGAAGATGTTCTTACCCGAGGACACTTTTTCGTGGTTGAAAAAGAAACTTTTCTATAGATGTATTTATTCAGTGATAACCTCCAAACATGAAGCTGGATTATAAGCTTG